AAAAAAAAAAAAAAAAAACAGCTCTTTTGACTTTTTTCTTCTCTTGATATAGTCTGCATCAAATCTCTTTATTTCTGCGGTTTTTCTCTTTCTCTCTTTCTCTCTCTCTCATTTTTTTTTTTTTCGGTTCCGCGTTTTCCCTCCCCTCTATCCAGTGGTGGCGTGAGTGAGAGTGGGGGGCGAGTAGGCTCTTAATGGGCGGTGTACTGGGAGCCTTGGCTGGTCGCTTGGTGAGGGACGAGCGTGGCGAATCTAATGTACAACAGGTGAAAGGACGAAAGCGGCTTCGTTCTCCTAGTGTGAAGGAGAATTCAAATGGTGTTGTAGCGACGGATAATGAAGCCCAAAATCTTCTATTATTTCGAACTCTTAACGCCAACAAAACTTTATCTGCTCCATTCTGTCGCTCCGTACTCCACGGCGCTTCCGTGGAGGATAGGTACGGATGCCATTACCATGTGTATCCATCTGAGTCTCCAGATGATTCTCATGGCAATGCGCTATGTTGGTCAGTTCGAAAGTCTTCACTGAGTGTTCATAGCTTGATTTGTTTAGCTCGTTTAGCAAATAGCTGCCACAAGGATTTGGTGCTTTTTGGCGATGGGATTGGCGTTTCCCTTTCGTACACAGCTACACTATGAGCAGAAACCTGCTTAAAATTAAACCTTTTTTTTCTTCTGGAAATTATTGTTTTCCCTTGTATTGTTACTCCCTTTTTCTTTACTGGACTAGGGGATTGTTATTGTGAAGGTCTTTTTTCTCAAGTTGACTCATTACTTTTTTTTTTTGTTTTTGATGATGATGTGTGTGTGTCTGTTTGTCTGGGGATTGCACTATGAATACCACTTTTTTTTTTTTATATTTTTCCTAAGTTTTCCAGCTACAACCAAAAAAAAAAGGTATTTATTATATATATATATTTTTTTTTGAATCATCTTCGCTTAATTTGCCTCATTTTAGAGAAAAGACAAGGATATGAATGATACCATTGGTGAGCTGGAGAGTAAGCTTGATGAGCTAACTCGCATCAAGGTTTTTGACGATGATGTGAGAAGCGGTGTGGATAGTCTCCTTGAGTCTATGCCGAACCCTGATGAGGAACGAGACCCCGATAGGCGGATTCGTCTGCTTGTGCTGCGGTGCAAGGCGTTAACGCTGCTTCCTGTCTTTTCCATGGAGGCAGAGCGCGACTGTAGTGCTGCGCTGAAGTTGCGTCACGACCGACCGGATTTGTGGGTGCTGCTGAGCGAGTGTCTTGCGCGGCGGCGGGCGACGCGTGAGGCCTGTGACGCGCTGGATCACGCCCTGCGCCTGGACGCTGCCAACGTGGAGGCGCTCTGCCAATACAGCCGGCTGTTGCGTGGACTGTCGGCCGATCCCCAGGTCCCGGCGGGGGAGCGGCAGCGGCATCTCCTCGAGGCGGTGGCCCGCGGGAAGGCGGCGGCGTCGGCGGCCCCCGGCTGCGCGGATGGGTGGCACTCGTACGCCATCGCGCTGCTCTCCGCGGCCCTCGCCGACGGCGTTGATCTCGCCGGTGTGCGGCGGGCGGCCCTTGCGATGCGACAGGCAGCGACCCTCGCCAGCAGCGACCCTGATGTGCGGTTTAACAAGGCTGCTATCGAAGGACTTCTCGGGCACTTTGGCACCGCCGCCTGCGATCTTCTCGCCGCCCACGAGGCAGATCCACGTCGTCTCCCAGGCACTCTGCGATTGTTAGAGGACCACATCGCCATCCTCCGCCGCGCACGCTCACGCATCGACAGCGCACAGCAGACAGGCAAACGCGCTTTCGCAGCGCTGCTGGCAAAGCTGCCCACCCCAGCGGAAGGTGCAACCACAAGGAACCTCCTAGAGGGACAAACTATGCCCACCTGTCGCATTACAGTTGGTGTGGTGGATGTTTTAAGCGAATCTACAATGGAACCAATGGTAGTACTTGCAGCGGAAAAAAGTGGGGAGTTCGTTTTGTTACTCTTCTACGGTTTACAACGCAATGCTATTAAAATTAATGACACCATTATCACATTGTCATTTCCTGGTAGTACTGTTCTTCGCGTGCAACATGATGTTCCTGCCGTTCCTTTATTGGATAGCAGCTCTTTTGAATCTACTTACACACAGGTCTTCGTTGATCTAAAAACTACGCTTGTTAATGGTTCACCCATTCCAGCTCGTATGCTCCTCCCTCCTAGGATTTCATCACGACTTTTTGTATAAATTTCCTTTTTTTTCTTGTAAAAGACGGTTTTTTTTTTTTTTTTTTTTTTTAAGAAAGAAAACAAAACAAACAAAAATCGGTTTCGGACAGGAAGAGAAAGAAGAGAATGTGGTAGAAGCATCCCTGTTCCTCTCTTGTTTTTTTTTTTGCCATATATACGCTTACTTTATTTTTGTGTCTGTGTGTACATGGGGAAAATTTGGATGGAACAATGGTATGAATAGTCAAAATCGGTTTTGCATACCACAACCGTTATTAAAACTATTCATGCTACTACTACTACTACTACTACTACTACTACTACTGTCGCTGATCCTAGTTCTTTTCTTCTTTAGGTATCACTTGCTTCACTGCTGATTATATTGGTGGCGGTTCTAATCTCGTTGGAATCTCTCTTTATGTACAATTTAACCGCAACATTTTTTTTTTTTTTGTTTTTTATTGTTGCTCCCATTCTTTGGTTTTCTACATAGAGTCTCGAGTGTAACGAGAATTCATGGTACAACGCGTGCGCATAATTTTCACAGGAAAGGATGGGTACGGATGCGGTCGCTGTGGCGCGTACCTTTGCGACACTGGCGATGTTATATCAAGACATTTCCATGGCAAACACGGTAAGGCTTGTCTCGTAAGCCGCTGTTTCAATTACTATTTCGGTCCCCAAGAAGAAAAACAACTGCTAACAGGTGTCCACATTGTGCGCGATGTCTACTGTTCGAATTGTGATTCTTACCTTGGTTGGACGTACGACTTTGCTCATGAAGAGAAGGAACGCTACAAGACTAATCGTTTTGTTTTAGAACTTGAGCTTCTGAGAGAAATTGGTTCCAACACAGAGGGATGTAGCGAACTCAGTGTGGTACATGAGGAGCAGAGGGCTGTGTAATGCACTGGTATCTGTGTTGGCATCTTTTTATGCTGTTTCTTTCTTTTCCTTGGTTTTCTAGTGAATCACTTCTTTTTTTTTTTATTTAGTTTGTTACTACCTCTTTTTTTTTTTTGTGTTTTGCCATTACGTAAATTAGTGAATGCGTAGGGTGACAACTCTCCCTCTTTCAGTTTGTTCAACACACACACACACCCATGCCCACGGTGTCCTACGCCGATTATATATATATATATATATTTGTGTGTGTGTGTGTGGGAGGTTTTGTGAAAATTTGCGCGAGATCATTATCTCCATTGCCTTTCCCCTATTTCCCCCTCCCTATATGTGATTAAGATCGCCATTTCTTCTTGTATTCCTTTATACTTACTGATTTTTTTTTTTTTTTGTTTTGCTTTCTTTTTATATCCTAATATTAAAAGAACAGTTCGTTCTATTTTTGGATAGAAAAGAAAGTATTGAAATAATACGAAAGGGAAATGACAAATCAAGCAAGTGAAAGGAGTAAAAGTAGTGACCCTCTCAGGGGCATTCTTATTGGTGGTCGTTTCCGCATTCTCAAACGGTTGGGTGGCGGCTCATTTGGTGAAGTATACATTGGTGTAAATATTCACAGTGGTGTAAATGTTGCTATAAAGATAGAATCAGCGAGAATCCATAGTCGTGCAATGTTTGAGCATAGAATATACAGTTACTTTAACGAGTGTACATTTCCTATTGGTATTCCACAGTCGTATTTCGGTGGTCGTGTAGGTGATTACAACGTTCTTGTAATTGACCTGCTTGGTCCAAACCTTGAGGAACTGTTTAACATATGCGGGCGTAAATTTAGCCCTAAAACAGTTTGTATTATTGGCATACAAATTATTCAGCGCTTGCAGTGTATTCACAGTATGAGCTACATTCATCGAGATATCAAACCAGAGAATTTTGTTATGGGCGTAGGTGATGACTCACAGACAGTGTACATTATTGACATGGGTTTGGCAAAACGATATCGTGATCCTGTCACACTGCAACACATCACGTGGGAAGAGAATAAAGCCCTAACAGGTACAGCTAGGTATGTTAGTATTAACACACATCGTGGTATTCAACAATCTCGTCGAGATGATATGGAGTCCGTGATGTACCTTCTTTTTTATTTTCTCCGTGGGAGTCTTCCGTGGCAGGGGCTGAAAAATCAGCCAAATGATGTTCATTACAACGTTATTTGTGATGTTAAAGTAGCTACTTCACCGGAAACGTTGGGGACGGGTTTTCCAGAGCAATTTGCACAACTTTTACATTACTCACGTGCTCTTGACTTTTATGAAGTTCCACAGTACTCGTACTATGTACGGTTATTATACGAAGCGCTCGCATCACTTGGCGAATCTTTTGATTATCGATATCCATGGTTAGCGAAGTTGGATCCGTGTGTGACGGAACTACGTGGTGACACTGATTCATTGGAAGAAGACACTATTGACCTAGTAACACCTCTTACAAGACGGGTTTATCGTAAATTGACTTCTACAAATGCGACACAATGTAGAACAGTCGTAAATGATGATTTTGATATTATACCCTGTGATCCAGGTGATAATAGAGCTTCACTACTCGAGCTACGAGACTACTATGGTATTGATCTTTTTGTGTAAAATCACATGTGAGGTGTTCTTGGAGTCTTTGGTTCAGTAAGTATGTGACTGAACCTAATTTGGCTTATCCTAGTTTACCTAACAGAGAACATGTGACAGCTAAAAAAAAAAAAAAAAGAAATATATATATATATATTTATATGTTATTTTTTCTTTTCCCTTTCTTTCATAGTTCGTTGCACTTATTCAAAGAGAAAATGGGGAGCAGATACATTAAAGTATGATGAATCTAGCAAGCCGATAAAAAAAAAAAATAAAGAGAACAAATGTTTATGTGGTGCAACTTTTTTTTTTTTTTGCAGCAGCAGCATTCCCCTTTGCTGTTGTTTTAATATAAGAAAGAAAAATTTTTTTTCTTGCTCTCTAATGACTTCTAATTCTATCCATTTAACTACTCTTTTGGAGGTCCGATCTCCAATCTCTCTCTCTCTCTCTCTATATATATATATATATATATATATATATGTAGTGCATGTATATTCTGTTTTTTTTTCTCTTTAAACGCCATTGATTTTTTTTTTTTTTTTACTCCTTCTGTTTTGATAGACTTTTTGAAAATATTTAAAATGAGCGCAGTGTGGAGTTCTCAACTTGTGGAGGAACTGCTTTTCCGACAGTATATTAAGGGTGAAGATGTGTCGATGCTGCTTCCTCCACCGCCGACATTGTCTGCCGATCAGTACTTGGAAAACTACGACCAATGTACCAAGGTGTTGTCTTCTTATGTCAGGAACGGCCCAACAGCGGCCTTGTCATCTCAAAATGTGAATACCGTCTCAAGATTGTACGGCGCAACACCGATAAAGGGACAGTCCTCGTTCTCTCGCACGATCAATCAGTCTTCTCAAAATGCTGCTGTTGCTGCTGCTGCTGAACCCAAGTTGCAGACCTGTCGAACTCCAAATGGAAAGGACATCAACGCGTCTGCGGTGGACTCACCTGCTCCAGTCGTTCCTAACGCCACTACCCGAACGGTAAACTCTTCTCCAGTTGCTCATCTAAGACGAAACAAAATAGAATGGCCTACCTCTGTACCTACCAATGCATCCCTAAAGAGCTCAAGTCGATCAAAGGTGGCACACTTAACAGCAAAAAGAGTGGCAGCTCAGGAAGGAGTGGATCCGGATCTTGTTTTTGCACAGAATCCTGAAGAGTTGCCTCTCCACCTTATATTTGCAAATTATCCAAAAGCCCTTGAATCCCTTTCGGCTGTTCGCGGTGGAAGTGGTGACTGGAGGAATGATACGTTTACAGTGGAAGAGGAAAATCTGTACAAGCGAGAGCTTGGTTTTGTGCATGTGGGGCCCAGTCAGTGCGCCTATGGTAGAGCTATGCTTTTTCAGAAGTAAATGCGCAAAATGCACATTTTTTTTTTTTTCTTTATACTGTTCAAAGGAAGGCATAACAAAAACTATTTTATTCTTTTCTTTACTATTATTAGATCACTAGATGCTTATTTTTCCCCTTGTTTTCGTTTCTTTTTCTTTTTTTTTTTCCTTAACATGTATCTCCTGATTATCTTTGAGTGTTTTGGATGCCCAATATATATATATATATATATATATATTTATCACTTCATTATGTCTCTTACATGCATTCCTTTCTTTGTTTGCAGTTTTTTATTTCTTTCTTATAGCAAATGACAATATCATACAAATTGGGTACACCTCTTTGGGTGAAATGTGATGATGGAGAGTGGTGGCCAGCAGTTGTTAGGGAGGCTGACGAGGAGTTGCTACTTCTTGTTGGTGGTGGATACGATATGTGCGTTGAGTTTTATCACGATCCTGGTAATCTTTATCCGTTAGTGGCGAGTGACGACGGTATACGGTTATTTCACCATTCAGAGAGTGAACGGGATGCGGAGGAGCAGAAGTTTTTTCTAGTGAAGGCGACACAAGATGCGGTGCAAAAAGCGTTTCAAGATTTTGATCGTAATGCAGATTCAAGAAAAGTAGTAGTACCGTACAACGCAAGGGAGCTACACTGTATGTCGGCCCTATTGCAATCGGTTAACCACAATACTGCTCTAGATTTACGGCGTGCGTTGGAGCAGCAGGAAGGTATAAACCTCTCCCCACGCAAGAATAAACGTGTAGGTGATAATGAGAGGAAAAAACGTAAAAGAAGTATTAACAAGATATCAGGCGATATGACAACGCATCATAATGACTTAAAGGTGGGACTGAGTGATGAAGAGTCAAGTTACTGGCCAATTGAGCCATCAACAAGAACAGGAATAACAACAACAACAACAACTTTATCATCATCAGTAGCATTATCAGAAACAGCAACAGGAAATGCAACTGCGATAGAAAGTACAGGTTCGAGTATTCCTAGAGTCTCTCATGTTGAGGGAAAAGAACTGTTCTGCGAACCTTTTACCCCTGCCGCATTGGATGTGCTTCGAAAAGAGGTTTTTGAAGACAAGGATCGATTAATATTATCACCACTTTACCGCTATCTTGAAGTACTTGGTGCTGTAGCGGTGGATGGTGTGCCCTTGCAGACAACATTACCTTCTCCACTCGCGTTGTGTGAAGTTCCGGAAGGTGGATTTCCCCCATCACGACGCGTTCTACTTGTAGCTCTCTCAGCTTCCACTTTTGATCACACAGATGGGTGGATGGTACCTTTTGAATACGAAGATTCCACCATTTCTATGACACTTTCTGTGAACGACAATTTGATTGAGACACCTTGCAACCCTTCGCTACCTTCTGGGAAAGAAATGTTGGCCGTAAAAACAGCCCCAGTGGCTGATATTACTTCTTATGTAATACGTGAAGAGTTGTTTTCATTGAAAGTGGGTTTTACAGGTTTTTTAGAGGATGCTGCGCTATGGAATGGTATCATTGTTGCTGTATATGCAGATGAACTTGATATGGATTTATTGGTTAACAGAATTGTTTCAAATTATCAGATGCCACCTCGGAGGCGAAAACGTGATAGTGTAGTTGGGGTGCAGGTGAAGATTGTGTGCCCCATTACAACACTCCCATTGGAGATTCCAGTACGAGGTTTTTCCTGTGAACACATGCAATGCATGGAACTACGCTCTCTACTTGTGCATTGTATTCGTACCAATGTCTGGAATTGTCCACTGTGTTGGTCCCCAACTCTGCCGCGTACCATTATTGTGAATTATAGGTTGAAAGAATGGTTAGAAACGCACCAATCACAGATAAGTGAAGTGGAGTTTATTGTTGAAACACCTTCTGGAGGTCCTCTTCAACCCATCTGGAGACAGAAAAGCTCCAGAAAAATTGCTGATGTCATTGCCGTGGAATAATACTCATTGGATGAGCAGTAAAATGGATTTTTTTTTTCTGAAAGCTTGCGATAAGAATGGCAAAGCCTTACTTTTTGGAACTACAGATTTATGGGTTTTGGTAAACCAAATTCTATTTCTTTTATCTTTACAGTCTGCCTAACAGTAAGTTTCTGAAAAAAGTAAGTTTACAAGGAAGGAAAATGTTGAGTACGACTCGTCCCTCTTATTCATCAGTAGAATGGAGGACATGCACACAAGCATTCAAAGACTTTGTGTGCCACAACGGACCAACAGCGTTTACATTTGAAATGCGACCATCGCACGCTCCCCATTTAACTTATACCGTCGAAGGTATGTTAACCTTAGAACATGATGCACTCAAGATACGTACAGGGGAGGATCACTGTTTGGACTGGGAAAATTTGCGTACCTCCATAATTAGGTTTCACATGCCGCGAAACCAAGATTTTCTACAGGCCTTTG